AAAGATTAGATAGAACTTTACGCCATTTTCAGGCATAATTGATAGATCAATGGGCGCTTAAAAGAAGCAGGAATTAAATGAAGGAAATGAATTAATGAAATTTGTGAAAGAATAAGAAAACAGGAAGAAAATAGGAAATGACGTTTCTTGTAAGATTTCTTTTTTTTGCACATTTATTTTTTAAAATTAAAATATTTTTTATTAATATTGAATTTTTCTTCATCATTCTCTGCAAACTCTCTAACAAGAAGTACTCTTTTTCATTCCCAATTCTTTCGCATCGTATGGTGTGTTACTATTTCGTACATTTTGCAATCTCTAATAGTACACTATCTTCAGTTATAATAAAATCTCCAACTATCCAAATAATTGAGCTATTTCCTTATTGCTAAAACATCCTTATGCTACATTCTTAATCCGTATCGTTCTATAGAGACTCATCTAAAGACATACTGTTTCTTGTGCAAAAATGAATTTGTAAAAGTGTTGATGAGTTATATTGATGGAACGGTGTGGCATTGGCGTTGCATGCAATGACTAATGCAATGAAGTATTTGGGGATATCCCTGAGCGGTTGTTTTCCTATTATTTTTTCGTAATTATGTGGGAATGTCAGAAGAAGCTTGCAAGCATATCTTTGCTATCTTCCAGACTGTCACCTGAAACTTTATAGGCTTACTCGGAAAAGCACCACTTGCACCTGTCCGAGAAACCGTTTCAAAATTTCAGACCTTTGGAGTCTTGCTTTATCGTGAAAATATCCCTAAAAGCATTCACATTTCTCATTATCTAGAAATTCTACCCATAAGATTTTGAATATTCCCAAAGATAGAACTGCGCGTAATGAAACTCATTAGCTCTTACCCGCAAAATTTTCATGTTTTGAAATGTCCAATAAAATCTAATCAACCAAATGTTTGGCGCAACATAGACAAATCCTAAGAGTTTCTTTCGGGAGTCTTGCTCGAAAGACTTTCAAATTTTTGCTCTTGACAATTTATTTGAGTCGAAACAATTTAATTAATAGATATTTCAGTACATGAAGAAATCAGGGATGGAACTTTTTGTGGAATTTTCTGTTTAAAATTTAATTTTTTTATTTGGAAAATTATGTTCCTACTAAATTAGTCAATATTTGATAATTATATTTAAGGATGGGTGAAAGTGATCATTATGGCTTTTCGCTTACAACTTTCAGGTAATTGTCATATTTCATTTTTGTTTTAAATGATAATAAAAACTTATTCTGTCACTCTGAAATGATCAGCTTCCTTTTTAATGTTGACTGTTCCAAATTGAAAAGTTTCGTCGGTGTCTAGTTAGGGTATAAATATCTTGATGGTCTCACGTCACATTTTAAACGAGTACCCCCATTCTTATTTTCATTTGAAAATTCAGTTCTTTCATTATAAGAATGCATTCACTTATCATTTATAGCTAAATTTCTCAAATTTTAGTCCTTCGGGCAAGCTAATGCAAATCGAATATGCTTTAAATGCAGTAAAAAATGGACAACCATCTGTGGGATTGCGAGGTTTGTTATTATTTGTCTTTTTGGAATAAATAATCAACTGGTACCATAAAACAATACTGTAAATTCATCCACCATGAATTTCTTTTCCTTTTTTTTTTTTGAACACCTAACGAACTACTAGCATGTCATACTTATTTATATACTTAATTATTTGTCGAACATATTAATCTGGTGCAAATTCCTTGTTTATTTGCTTTATACCTTATCCAGCACACTAATTGGATTCATTTTATTTATCACCTCTTATGCTTGTTTAATGTTCTTTTACTTAATAACTTACGTAGTATAATATGTAATTTTATCATTTTATTTGTTTGCTCATTTATACAATTGATTGTTCAGGTAAAAGATATCTCTTATATTTTTAAAGTGAACATAAATTCCAGCATCAGATGGCGTGGTATTAGCTACCGAGAATAAGATATCGGTGCTATATGAAGACCAACCAAAAGTAGAAAAAATTAGCCAACATATCGGTTGTGTTTATAGCGGCATGGGGCCTGATTACAGGTAAATCCATTCTGAAAATAATTCGAAATAACTTAAGCAGAATTTACTATTAGACATGCTGTCGTCACCTTAACTTTGATATTGAGTTTGCCTGATCCTTTTGTACATCATAATAGGCATAAAATTGAATCTCTAATCCACATAAATAATATTAATCAGTGAGTACTTTCATCTGTTTTTTCTCCAGAAATATCCACTATTTTCTTGAGGTCTCCTAACTTTTCTCCCTCCTTCCATAAGTTAGCTAATTAGAATAAGGAGTGGGAAACACTCATGGTTCCTGATTAGTGCATGTTTGTTTATTGTATATAAATAGGCTGCTTCCATCAGTTAACTAAACATAAAACTCTATAGCTATCACAGATCTATGATGATTGTTATGGTTTCTGACATATTTTTAATATGCTAGTTCGTACTATTGCTCTTTAATCTTCGGCACATATAAACTTTCATCTATTTGTTGAATTTGGCAATTAAATATCGTATTTTCTTGTAGAATACTGGTTAAAAAGGCACGGAAATTAGCAATGGAATATGAATTGATGTATGGTGAGGAAATACCTACGACACAACTTGTAACAAAGTTAGCCGCGGTAATGCAAGAATATACTCAGTCAGGGTGCATGATTTTTCTTCTAGTTGTTGTCTTTTTTGATTAGTGCTTTCCTAAACCATGCGATATACATTATCATTCCTGGATTAAATTATTATATCAAAACTTATGAAATGCATCCCTGAAGGCTTGAATGAATAAAGGGTCCAAATTTAAAAAGAGAATAAGTGATGTATTCCGGATAACAATAATCAAAAGATGGCCAATTCATGAAGCTACAATTAAATGTTTATTCGGGATCATTGAAAAATCATTCTGGTTCAAATCTTTATTTGCGTTATTTACCTTTCATTGATTTTTCTTTATGCTTGTCTTAAATCACGATTTTTGCAGCGGTGTTCGGCCATTCGGCGTATCAATGCTTGTTGCTGGTTGGGACCATGAGCCAAGTCCCGGTCGACCGCTTCTGTTCCAGTGCGATCCTTCGGTAGTGTTTTCACTTTCCTTGACCTTAAGTCACTTAAGGGATTATTTGAAAATATTTTTTAATTGAGCAATTTGAAATTAAAAGTTGATATATGACTTTCGTTTAGGGAGCATATTTTGCTTGGAAAGCAACAGCTTTGGGGAAGAATGATGTCAATGCAAAAACATTTTTGGAGAAACGGTTTAGTGATGCGTTAGAACTGGATGACGGTATTCATACGGCATTACTTACATTGCGTGAAAGTTTTGATGTTGGCATGACGGAAGATAACGTGGAAATAGCGGTGTGCAATAAAAATGGGTTCATGCGTTTGTCAAAGCAACAAGTGAAGGATCATCTTGGTGCACTCTGATTACTGCATTTTCTTTTTTTTTTATTGTAGCTGGCATTATTGTACTCAATTCGTTGTTTTTTGGCATTATTTATATGTTAATTTGTATTTGGAATTATTAATGTTCGAACAGTACTTTTCCAAAGTCTTAAGATATCCTTCGGAATCTTGTCCTCTACTTTTCCTTTCATTGCCTTCTGTACGCTGCTTACTATGTAGCCTTGCATGAAAACATAGGGATGGTAAACTTTTCAAAATTAGGAAAAATGTTATTGTCCATTAATCTTCCGTCATCTCCGGTATCTGTGCGTTTCGAATTTTTGATGCATCGATTGATATGGATATAATCGGGAAAAACAATGTTTTCAAAACATAAGTCTTCTGGTTTTGTACTTGTCAAAGCCGCAAATAAAAAATCTAGAGAATGTTATTTTTAATGTTCCTTTCGTTTCTGGAAAATCCATGGTAAATGTTTCTAGAAAACCTGTTAGGGTATATATTCTATATCACAGCATTTCTGTATTGTTGATAGAGATCAAATTTATCTTATTTGAAAAAAGTAGCTCCCATAGTGTAGCATAATTGCTGGTCATAGCACTATCGACTTGGTCTATCATCTCAATTCAATTTCTTCGTTTTATTATACTACTGATCTCTCCCATTTAGGAACAGAATTATCGCTACTTTATTGCAGAGGCTAGTTGATATTGTGTGGAACGGAGTATGTCAAAAACGAAGTAAGTTTTTGATTTTGTTTTTCTACAAGTACTACGATTTTGAAATTTTATTATTTCAGAAATTTCATGGAGAAATTATGACCATAACTAATTTAAGCATCATCGGCTGGAATGTAAGGATTTGATACTGGCTGGATAGTTGTTAATTTGAAAGCAGTCTTGTACATCATATCTTGAAATATTTGGCTATTTGTAACGATAGGAAAAAAAAGTTTTTCAGATAATGATTTTTATCATCATATCCTTTTTCAGATATGATTTTTATCAAACAGAAACGCATGTTTTTGTGACGATATTGAAACGTGGCTTAACACTGGAACAGTGTAAAGCGCATTACATAGATGGTTGCTTAACAGTGGTAGCAGCGGGTGAAACGTTACTGAACATACGCTTATCCCATCCGATTAATCCTACATCATTAGAACTAAAATGTTTACCATCCAAAGTACTATTTGTTATCATTTCATTATTTTTTTCTGTATCGTACAATAAGAGATATTATTGAAGGCAGCAGTTGTGGTAGTGGTATTGGTGTGTATATTTTGGGTGATATTTGAATTTTTGCTAGAATTTTCCGAAATCAAGTATTTGAAATGATTTAAGAGATACAAAATTTGTGGAGTTGAGCATTTCAATTTTATCTCCCTTATCATTTTAATTTTATTTTAACATTCATATTTTCAGATTGAATTGAAAATGGCAAAATTAACATCAGATCAGTGGGAAACATTGGAGGAGAAGAGTGAAGAAAACAAAAATAAGGTATTTTTTTAGAGATTCTGTTATTTGAATTAAAGGATCTTACTTTAACAATTTTGATACCTTTTGTTGTTGCTGATAGCACTGAGAGAAAGGAAACAAATGTGACCTCGGTTAGAATTATATACACTGCGCCGGTAGGTGGTCTAAAAGATCATTGATTCACTGCACTTACACTTCAGTAATTAATATCGGAAGGATTACCTAGTGAGCTGAACGTTGTTGGTCCTAAGATGTAAAACTTTTGCTTTAATATGTGTTTACTTATTCAACAACATGTTTCTTCGTTCAGCACATTCGGTCGCTTTTAAACTGTTCAGATAAAAGTTAAGAATTTTTCAAACTGACCTTCCCTTCTAAAGATGTGTACAACTGTCCAACACTTTACAGCCAACATTGATTAGTTGGGACAAGTTTGCTAAAGAAGCAGAAGATGATGAAGAAAAAGGGGATGTCAATGTGCTTTTTCAGGTAAGGTTACTATATATTGGTTGTAGCAGATTTACTTTTTTTGAAACATTGTAGAAGACAATATAAATCCCATCTTCATACGACAGCTCTCAACCATTGAATTTTCGGTAGCATCGAACATAACTGTGAAGTTCTTCCTTACAAATGCTTAAGCCTAATTGTGAGTTCCTTATCAATATTCTGCTGGCTTCTTCAGTTATGTGATTAATTCAAGGTGCTCTTCAATTACCCTTAATAATAGTAATAGCCTTACCAGGAAATTTATCTTTAGCTTGCTTTGTCCACGCCACCCAATGCTTCCACATTTTTCTTCAAATTTTTATATTCGCTTTTAGTTTTCAGAAATTCTACCTTTTCAGAAATTATATAAAGATGCAGATGATGACACGAGGAAGGCAATGGTGAAATCATATACAGAAAGTGGTGGAACAGTGCTAAGTACAAATTGGAAAGAAATAAGTAAAAAACGCACAGAAATCCGGCCTCCCGATGGAATGGAGTTTAAAAAATGGTGAAATTCATTTAGAATGTGTCAGAGCTGTATAGTTTTATATGATGTATTGCTGTTTACAATTGAGTTACACTTGTTATCAAAAAGATAGGACTTGTAATTCTAAATGCTGTAAACTATATCATCACCTAGTGATCGGGATGTAATCTACGTTTTACTCAAACATAAAAAGATCGAAGATATGTGACCCCCTGAAAATTATTCTCAAATAGATTTTTTATAATAGAAGCAAAATACGTGGAATTTTTCATTCTATATAAGATAATGATGTTTTCGGAAAATGAGATTAACGAATCTATTGAAAACAGTCAAGAAACAATCTAGTGGTATTAGTCTAGAATTGATACTGTCATTCACCTCCTACTTCTTTGTTTTCAAACTTTTATATTTACATTACTTATTCTTCACAACTGGAAATAATTTACCTTCCCAAGGGAGGAAAATGAAAATAACCTGAAAATCTTACTTTGTCGAAACCAAATTTATTATAAATGGCCTTGTCATTCGTATTGCACTTATATTGTGAGGAAAAATATTTTTTGTTTCCGAGTAAATACGACAGATGCAAAGAAATAACTTGTTCGGTCTTAACATTTTTAATATGCATGCTGTCGGATATCGCGCATAACGATATATGATCAAGGTGAAAAAAAAAAGCATCCCATCACCGTAGAATAAATATGACAGTGCATAGTGTGGTTTACGCTAAGTTAGCTTGTGTTTGTGTATGTGTGTGTTTTTTTTCTATATTTTAATAAGCGGCTCCAAACATTTAAGTTGATGCGATTCGTGGATTGAAACATATCACACGGGAATATATCGGGATTAACCAGTCTCAAACTAGAAACCAGATAAAGAATCAATATCCCAGCTTCCTGTTAAAGTTATCCATACAAAGAAAGGTTTCCAATTTTATGCCGGCATTTCAACAATGTTGTAAACGGTAACGTTTTCACTACTAATAATAACATTACTGCTACATTTATTTCAAATTTAAATTTACATTGTTAATTAAGAGTTCGGTTTATGGTACATCGAAATCTTCATCATCAGGTGCTTTCCGTTTTAACAGATTAGTAATCGCTTCCGGTCGGGTTTGTCGGATCGTTTCTGTTGGTCGTACTGTTGGTTCTTCCTTCCGGGTCATCTGTTCGTTGATTTCACGTAACTGTTCGTTACTCTAGAATATATTAATCGAATATCGAAACAAAAATTAAATATACGGGAAGATCCTGCAAATCTTCGAAAGTTAATTAGAAAGTTCTAATACAGTAGCAATGAATTTGAAATTTTGTGGTAGTCAAAAGAATTAATGGAAAAAACTGTTACCTTCCATCCCATGTTTGGCTGTGTCAAACAAAACCGGTCATTTGGGAGTCGTAATCCGTAATTTTGTCGAATTGCAGGAAGTGGCACAGCATTCTTCTGTTCTGCAAATTCTACCAACAGCTGCCTACTGGGTCGTTCACTTTTCCAAAAACCTGCCAAAGAAAAAATGAAATGTAATGTCACTGGATAAGGCAAAAGTAGATGTGTAAGTATAAACAAGTAAAATTTCCTATGAATTAAAAATAACAATAAAGACATTCCAGAGTAATAATTCATTGGTTAAACAAGTGAGGCTAAAGGTGATGACAAATATGACTGAGTGTTGGTTACCAAAATGATTAGCAGTGAAGAAAGAGGATCAAAAGCAGACCTGTGTTATCAATGGCAAACTGTACATCAGTTTCATCAATCTGCTTTTTTCCTGCATGCTCACTGATTGATCGAGCATCTTCCAGAATTTCTGCTGTGTATCTGAAAAAAGATTATCATTGCCATTATCCAATAATTGTATTTCGTAGTATCACAAAGAACTTATACCAGCTACTCCGACAATCCAATCCACTTAATGCATTAATGTACCAACAAATATATCTCAAACTACATCTTACGCTAAAATTTATATTTCCAAAGCAACATAACCTATAGGCAAATTCGAGCATCTGCGAAATTACACGTGGTTCATAATCGGTAATTCCCATTTCCTTGAGAATAGCCTCCATAACCTGTGCATCATGCGGTATGGCACCCATTTCGACAAATCTCTATCGCTATCCTTTTAACATTAGAATCAGCAGCTATATTTCGACAAAGCTGAAAATCCAAACGTTAATTTTTAAATAAAAATTGTTCTGAAATGAAGCAACAGAACGAAGCAATTATTTCGCTTCAGTAATTCTCATTAGCAGCAATTTCAGTTCCCGAGTATAACATCGAAAGAACTAAAACGATAAAACTATTTTCCGTAAAGAGTATTACGTCATCTGCGAGAGGAAACAATATTTATTTTAAGTGGTAATCCACTTGCAATTAACCACTGGAAAATCGCACATGATATCCGCTCAATGAACAAATGACGTCTATTCAAAAGGAAATGAATTAGTATTTAAAATAATCTAATAGAAAAATTCTGTGAATCACACAAGTCCCTCACAAACTTGGCTCCATCGTTAAAATTAATCTTTTTTTTTGGTCTAATCATTCTTAGCTTTGACGCAATATTACATCGTTGACAGATCCCTTATTATCATTACTATTAATAATTATCACTATCACTGTTACTACACCAATTATTCTCATTATTATTATTATCTTTCAGTACCATTATTAGAATAATACAATAGTTTATTTTATATATACTATATATCAAACTAGATTTGAAGCTGAAAAATTAGCAAGAAACACATATCAAAACGCGTATCTTTTCTTCCTCTAAAAAAAAAGGGGAAGTAATCGAATCTCAAAAAACAATTTCTTCTTGAAATTAGCAAAAGTTATCTCTATAAAAATCTTTATGCAGTGATATTCCATGAATATAAATAAATTACAAATACAACCACGACAATTATCTCTTGTAACAACTATTACAAATGGTATATATAAAAGGCAAATGAAAGTCTTTCCATAATATTATTGCTTTTCAAGCATGCATTATAGCTCGCACAAAATCCGAAATGTTTACATTGCCATGCGAATCGTCATGGCCAGCCAGAAGTTGATCAACCTAAAAAAAAGGTACATAGACACTCACGGAACTGTTACTGTTCTAAACTCACAAATATATAATCTTGCAGTTAGAAATGTTAAAGTCGTGTCGTTTTTGAACTTTTTTTAGAGTTTGTCGGAAAGCTTTCTTAATAATTGCCCTTCATAAATTTCCAATAACCAATTTGACAAATTTCGGCAACGATTTTTTTTTCCCGCAAATTACGAAAAAAATTTTTTAACCGTGGAAAATATGAATTCTTGGCTTACTTCTTCATCTGACAAACGCTCGCCAAGCGTAGTTAACAGATGTCGTAACTCGGCAATATTGATTAAACCATTTCCCTATAAGGATAAATTCTATACAGTTAAAAAATGACGATTAAAAAAAAAGCTTTCTTGCAACTTCTGCAGTGATAGAAAATGTAACCAATTACTTCTTTATCAAAATGAGATAATCCTTCTACGAATTCTTCTAAGGTATGGTTTTCGCGACATTTATTCACTGACTGATAAATCGGGACAAAGTCTTCGAATGTAATACGGGTTTCTGAAAAAAAAATCCATTAATTGGTTTAATTAAGAAGATTATTGATAAAATTCACGAATCCCACGTAAAATATAGAGTTCATTCGGCAACTCAAAAATTTTCTTAAACTCCATTTCAAATTTACAAAAAAAAATCACGACAGTACTCCTACTAACAAATCTATGATAAGGAATAGTTCATATCAAAAGAGGTAGACTCTCTGCAATTTTTCACCACATTTTTGTACATATTGTAAACAATGTTCAATTACTTTCTCTTTTGTATGCAAAAACCTTCAATAACATATACAGCAAATATTCCGTTCCTTTTTTTGAAATTAAAATGATACTTGTAACAGTTAGATAAACAAATTCGCACAAATTATACCAGGATCAGTCCAGTGTGAGCAACATTTTTGAATCTCAGCTTCAGTTGGATTTTGTCCAAGTGCACGAAGAACATCACCAACTTGTGCTACTCCTATTCGTTCATCTCCCTAAACATATGAACCTAATTACAATGTGAGCAATATTTTTATATTAGATCACAAGAATTCATTAAAATTTTCCAAGTTACATACTTTTGAATCGAAGTAGCAAAATACTTCACGACATTCTGATAATTGTTCATCGGCAGATGTCATTTTTTTTGTAGGGAATTTATCACCTCAGTTAACGCTAAAATTTTATAATATATTCAGGAAAACAGCTTCAGATAGAATAACTACGAAACGCAATAGCAAAAACATTAATTTCAAGAAATTAGGAAAAAAGATTAGGACAAAATCCTACTTCTCTTTTTCTTAAAATATATCAAAAAATGAAAGTTTCCCAACAATGTTTAATTCCCATTACATGTGTGTATTATTGAAATCATAAAACAAAAATCATTCACAACTTGACCATCTGGAAAAAATAATTTGATATGTAATAATGTAAAACATCTTATCGAAAGTTATAATAAGTTTCAAAATATCATGACGTAAACAATGCAATAGTTCTGTTGATCCTACAATGTTAAACTTAATGTTATTCACGCCATGATTCATCATCCTGTAGGTATGGTGATTCGTCTTGATCTTGGATTTGAACATATTTCACAATCAGCGACCAGTGCGTAAAATCATAATAGATCAACCTTGACCTAATTTTACTCTTCCCATCTCTTTTACAGAAACGCAGATATCTTCTAATATATCGCAATTTATACGAATTAAAAGTATAAGTTTTCAATTTAACAACTTGTTTTTGCGCAAAAATTTATTTCACATCATTTAACTGCGAAGAAGAGCAAAAGTGAAATAAAAAATAAGCAAAAAACGAAAAAACTCAAGCCTATTCTAAATGATTGCTAACCATTCATACGAACGAAGATGCCTGAACGAAATAGATTACAAAAAATTAAATTAAGAACGGAATGGTTAAAGTGAATGGCTTGACAGGTGAGATCGTAGATTCTTACTAAAAAAGCCAATATTTAAATTGCAACAAAAAAAAGAAAGGAGATCAATGGTATTTCCTTAGTAAGGCTTTATATGGTTCATATATAATTGATTTATGCCATTCCGCTCACGAAATAAAGCAATGAAGCTTCATTTTGCTCCACTGAAAATACCACCATCTTCTCTGGTACAATCCCTGAAGCAATTGAGAAAGTCGATTTTATAATGAAATTTGAACACTACAAACCTTAGCTAAATTTAATATTCATATGAATCATCCTTCAACTAAACACCAATAAATTATACTGGTATATTGGTTTTGAATGTGTTATCGAACTTATCCATACAACAGTATCATCAAAGATATGGAACTTACTGAGCAATGTTCGCGACATTGTGAAAAGGGAGGGGAAACTGCGAAGCAAGTGATAAACTGCCCTGATATCGACACGTACTGTTCGTAACACACCTGGATCATCTGTATCACTTACTGGAACACATAAATATATTGTTTCATTTTACTTATCGCAAAAGGTATCAAAAACCCTTCCTATGCATAAAAGTTACAGTTATGCCTAATTCAGTAGACAATATGAAACTTTTAAATTTACAGTTATATCTAATTGATAATATGAAAGTTTTTTAAAAAAAATTATGGTTCAGAATATACAAGTGTTCAAGCCATATATTGATATCAAACAAATTAAACGACTGGATTGTATTGGTTGATGACCTAAGGCTGTCATCAATTCTCATCCAAAATGTGCAAAAAGTTATATTGATAATGAATTTTTCCCTAATTTCTATATCATAAAGCGCTTTTATTTTAAATATATCACCATCATAAAATCTTCTCTTATATTTAGCCAAAATGTTTTCTGAAATTATACATCGTTCAGGTAGTACTACTACTAAATAATAACCTGGAGCAAAAACACAATTGGATACTAATCGAGCATGTTTTGATTATAACAGAATGAGAAAGTGATAAACAGTACCATGACCATTCTCTAATGAAACAACGGAAAGATTCGAAAAATGTACGACAATATTTGCCATATCTAAGTCACCACAAAACTGAAGTTCACCTTTTCGACTTCCTTTAATCTCCTGAAAAGAATGAAATTCCTGTCTCCATGTGGTTTCATCCTCAATTTTAGAGCGCCATTTCAAACCATGCTCATAAAATTTACCTCATTTTCATAAAGAATAAAAACTCACCAAATATTTTACTCCCATATTCTTGAACGAAGTTACCAAACTACGTATTGTTGATAGTGGTGGGAGATAGAGAGCAACCTGAAATTTTTCATAGTCAAAGACTGGAGAAATCAGAGCTTCGAAATCCAAAAAAAGTTGTAATTTCTTTTACTCGGTGGAACTTTTTTAAAGCATTCTAATCATTATGCCGCCAGTTGCTGAGGGTACAAAAAAAAGAGTCTCTGATATAGGAGAATATATTAAGAATAAAATCTGACAAGATATTTTGTCAAACTAAAAATATTGTGCTAAATGGTAATAATCTCGCACGATAATGCATCGTTTGATATAGTAAACAAAAAGTGTATCTCATTTACAGAAAAAAAAGTCACTGAAAATGACCGCTTCCCGATATTCCATTATTTAACGTACCGTATCACTTGGTTACAACTACATGCCGAACACAACCATACATGAGTTTTCCGAAAAGTAATCATGCGAATCGTCAAAACAATTAATTTCAAATTACCTAAATGTTAACTGTTATGAATTGCTAAAAATGCAACACATTTGTGAAGTAGCAACTAATAAACTACCGAAATATTATTTAAAGCCGGCATATCGTAAGTTTTCCAATATTTGGTTGGAATCAATACTACAGGTAACTCATGAGTCATTCCGCATGATCTCTGTTCCACTTTCAAATGCGGTACATTGCCAGGCTTGACCAAACGTATTTTTGTCGATCGATCCTTCACATTCATACTTTTGAACAAGTAATCTTTCTCCACCTCCATATAAATTTCGTTGAATTCTTCTGATACACCACCCATTATGTATGTTGAGAAAAATTCGGCCTGAATTTCTATATATATATATATATATACGGACATCATCAAACTGAACTTAAAAAAAAAAAAAAAACAATAAT